CCTCCTCTGCCTCCGGGGAGGCCTTGGCTGGTGCGGGAGGTCCAGCCTCTGGGAGAGGGGCAGGTAGAGCGGTTGGGGGCCCCAGGGCTGCACCCCTCAACGCGCCAGTCTTGGCAAAGCGAACAACGCAGGTGGACAGAGTGCGGGGCGAGGGCAGCCCGGTGCGCCTGTAATCCTCATAACCACGGCCGCCCCAGCCCAGTCCCCCTGCCCCGGCCAGGGGCTCTGAGGGCTCCGGAAATCCTGTGAACGGTAGGAGCGGAGGATAGCTCTGTGGGATGAAGAGACAGGAGAACCCATTAGCGGGGTTTGTGATTCCTGACATCCCATCACAATCACAATCCAGCCTAGTCTCAGAAAACCCGAGAATTCAAAGACCTCACCACAGGCTTCATTCATCCGAGGATCCTGTCCTGGGACCCTGTGGCCTGAGTCCAGGAGTCTTCCAAACCCCTAGCCCACTCCTCTCCCAGGGACAGAGGAAATCTAGGGTCAGACAGAAGAATCCAGGCACCAAGCCCACACCTTAAGGACCCAGTAGTCCAGGCTCCCGTCCTGTGTCTCTCAAAATCCAAGAGCAACCCCCTAAGACTAGAAGGATTCATTGCCCAAGTCATCCACCAAACCCCTCTGGAATTCAGAACTAATTTCCAGGAGCGCAGGAGACACGAGAAACCCTCACCCAATCCTCCAAGGATCCCAGACTTCCAAATTCCACCCCTATCCCACCATTAACTCCAGTCAACCATCCCTAGAGTGTTTGCGGTTCCTTCTCTCTCTGCAGCCTCAGTTCCTGCGCCCCATGAGGTGCCCCATACTTCTGCCGGGGATTGAAGGGCACACCTGAGTGGAGGAGCATCGGTGCTGGGGGGGCGTGGCTGGCCCGAAGCTGGAAGCTGACTCTTCGTTGACCTGGGGGGCCGCTGCAGTGGTGGTGGGAGGGTTCTCCTGGCGGCTGTGACTGGAGGAGGAGTCGCTGTCCACGTGGGACTGGGGGAGATTGGCAGCCTCAGAGACAGATCGGCACAGCCCAGCTGATGCCCTCACATAGACCCCCTCCCCTCCAGGGAGGGCTCTGTGGCCAGCCAGGCCTGGGTTCAAACCACCCCACCCCACTCTGACTGGTTGTGTGGCCTCCAGCAAATGAGCTAATCTCTTTGAGCCTCAGTTTCTTCCTCTGTAAAATGGGGGTTATAATAGTGTCTATTCATAAGGCTGTGGTTAGGTGCCACTAAAAGGGCATAACACATGCCTGAAGTTCAGGAAGAGCTAGAAATGGTTATCGTTATTGTTATTTAACCCCCACTTCTTACCTGCTCAGCTCACTAACCTACATAACATCAAATCATCGTTCTCCCTTCTCAGAAGCCTTCTCCCTTGGCCAGCCAGCTGCCTTTCTGCCTCGTGCTCACCACCACACCTTTATTGGGGCAGTTTCACCCACCTAGAATTCCTTCTTTCCCACCCAGACCAAGCTCTGTCCTTTACAAGCTGAAACATCACTTCTCAGACCCTCAGTTTCCTTTCTGTAACTTGGGAATCATTCCTATGTCATCTGTTTACTATCTTCAATAGTCATTCATTGAACACCCACAACATGCCAGGCTCACAGAGGCTCTTGTAAGGACGTGAGATGGAGCATGAAAGGCACATCATCTTTCCTGAGTAAGCGCTCAATAATCGAGAACTGTCTATGTTTTTTGTAGACCCACTGGAATCTCCCATTACACTGGGAGTTCCCCTGGTCTGCCCAGAGAACTAGTTTTGTTCTTCAGTGTTCTCAAACAACTCCCACTGTTCCCAGCAAGTGCCAAATTGCATTGGACATTCCGGGCATTTATTGATTCAATCAATTTATTTGACACATCTTTACTGCACACTTACTGTATCCCTACCAGGCCCTGTTTTAAGCCTTGGAGATGCTGCAAGAAACCAACAAAAGATCCTTGCCCTCCAGGAGCTGACATTCTAACATGGGAGAATGACAGTAAATTAGAAGATAAGAAAATTGTCTCTTGGGAAAGAAAATAAGGACAATATCTTAGAAGCTGAGGAAAAATTAGAACAGAATAAGGAGCATTAGGATATTGCAATTTAAACAGGTTCTTCAGGGAGGGCTTCAGTGAGAGGGTGATGTGTGTAAAGCCCTGAAAAATATAAGGAAACGAGCCATGTGGAAATTTAGGGAAGAGTGTCCCAAGACAGATGGATCAGCCAGTGCAAAGGCCCTGAGACAGAAATGTGCCTGCTCATTTGGAGTAATAGTGAGGCAATCAGTGTGGCTGAAGCAGAGTGAGGAAGAGGGAGAAAAAGAGGGGGCCAGATGGTGTGGGATTTTATGTACCACTGTAAGGACTTTGTCCTTTACCCTGAGTGAGATGGAGCCCAGGGGAGGGTTGTGAGTGGAGGGTGGCCATAATCTGACTTAGATATCAATAGGGTCCCTCTGGCTGTGTTCAGGAAGAAGTAGTGGGGTGTGTGTGTGTGGGGGGTGTGGAGTAAAGGTGTTGACAATGAGAAGCTGGTGGGATAGTCTAGTTGGGAGATGAGGTTGGGCAGTTACCAGATTGGAGGCAGAGTCTGATCATTTTGAAAGTGAAGCCAATATTTGCTGACAGAGAGGCATAAAAAAAGAGAGGAGTCAAGGTTGACTCCAAGGTTTGTACCCTGAGACACTAAAAGGATGGACTTGTCATTAATTTGTTCATCCATTTACTTTTAATATTTATTCATTTTTTAGTTTATCTTTTTTTGGGGAAAAATCTGCCTTTCCACGCCAGAAAAGAAGCTCCATGAGGAAAAGGACTTTGTTTTGTTCAGTGATGTATCCCCAGTGCCTAAAACACTGCTAATTAAAGTTGCTCAATAAATACCCTTGAATGAATGTGTGAATATGTTCTATCGTGATAGAACAGAAACTAGAATAACTGGGATAGAACTGACCTGATAGTTTGGGCCCAAATTGCTGTCCCTAGCTTGTGGCATGATGCCTGCTACACAGTAGGTGCTCAATAATGGTTGGAGAGCAAAAATAAACCTCTGCCTTTCCAGCAGAGCTGGTCCTGGAAACTCACCGTCAGAGGGCAGGGGGTCTCTGCAGTGTCCTGGGAAGGGGAGGAGGAAGAGGAGGAGGAGGGAGTGAGTGAGCCTGGGACAGGGAGAGAAGCAGAGAATGAGTTCCATGTACCCCAGCTTCTCCCACCCCTCCACCCCAGCCCCCAGTGCCCACCACCTGTACCACTCACCTTGACCCAGTGCCGCCAGGGCTGCCAACAGGCTCCTCTGGAACTCATCAGCTTCTGCAGGACTCTGAAATGTCAGCCCAAACTTGCAGTCACCCAAGCTCCAGTGATGAAAGATAGGGTTCACCTTGTTGTAAATCAAGCCTGGCCTCAGGGTACACTCCAAGGTGGTCTGAGGGCAAGAGAAGCAGGTCAGACACCTCTATCCAGCCATGCGTAGGACGTCTCCTCCTCCCCCAGCCTCTCTGTGTACCCCTAAACCTCATTTCTCTATCCTAGGTGTACTCCTGAACCCTGACCAATATCACTCCCCGATTTTATTGAGCAGACATCTGATACTCCAATATTTACCCCAAACCCCCTGATTCCTACTTTTTCCAATATCCCGCCTCTGATAAACCAATAGGAATCCCAAATATTATTGAATGCCTCAAAAAGCTAATTAGTCCACTTCTGATAATCAAATATCCCTCCTTCTGACTCAATAGTATTCCCCAAACTTTATTAAACTCCTCAAAATATTACTGTTAATCCCCTCTCAATGCCCCAATAATCTCCCAAAACACTACCCCCCAAATTCTTATCAAACTCCCACAGATTCCCCAACACATGCTGGTCAACACCCTAGATCAGTGATGGCGAACCTTTTGAGCTCGGCGTATCAGCATTTTGAAAAACCCTAACTTAACTCTGGTGCTGTGTCACATATAGAAATTTTTTGATATTTGCAACCATAGTAAAACAAAGATTTATATTTTTGATATTTATTTTATATATTTAAATGCCATTTAACAAAGAAAAATCAACCGAAAAAATGAGTTCGAGGGTCACCTCTGACACGAGTGTCATAGGTTCGCCATCACTGCCCTAGATAATCCCTTATATCCTTGCCCAACATCATTATATTCCTTCACACCATTTCAAATCCCCATGCATTGTTCCTTCTGACCACTCCTCTGAAATGCAACCCTTCCCCCAAGCCTTTGCAAACCATCCAGATCTTTCTACTACACCCCCAACTGAAACTTTAACACTGTTCTTCCCTATCGTGCCAGACAGCCCAGAATATGCCTGCTGAACCCAAATATAGGGTTGTAAGTCCTATTTGACATTTCCAGATAGTCCTCCACCAAATGCCTCCATATATTTAAGGCACTGCGGTGAGGACTCTGGACAAGATGGAGCCATGAGAGGTTCTAAGCAGAGGAAGGATGTGACCTGAGTCACGTGTTAGCAGAGCCCCTGTGGTACACAATGAGGTGGAGGAGGGAGCAGGGCAGGGAGAGCAGTGAGGAGGCTGCTATGATAGTCCATCAGGCGATGGCAGTGGACAAAACCTGCCTAATAATCCAAATGTTCCCGAAACTCCCAACTTTTATCCAAAGGACAGATATCCACTTCCAAACTCCATCCCACACTCAGGTTTGATTCCCAGGCTTGGAGATGACCTGACTTCACCTCTGCACTCCCAGGCCCACTTCCCTATTTTCCCAGGCCCCCACCCTAGTCCCGTGCCCCAGGGTGGCTCACTTTCTGGTCCCGGAGTCGCTCCCCGTGGATGACGTAGTGCCCCTGGCGGGCCCCCCCCTCGGGCCTGGCCCCTTGGACCCGACATAAGCTCACCTGGCTGAGGCCCCCGCCCCCCACAGGCAGCCAGCCCCCACTGGAGTCATCTCGGGCCATCACCACAGCTCGGACCCGAACCATGTACCTGGAGGTGGGGGGACAGGGACAACATGGTCAGTGAACTCCAATCCTGTTCTCACATTTGATGTTCACGAACCCTTCATCTCCCCTCTTCATTTCTCACATCTGGATCCATTGTAACTTTCACCTTTGATACTCAGCTTACCGTCCATTTCTACCTTCTTCCCAGTACCCATCTTCTCTCCCTACCCCCTTCTTCCAGCATGGCTTCTTTCTTCCTCATGCCATCTCTTTTCTCTCATCCCTATACACCCCTACCTTCTATTTCCATACCCCTTTTCTCTCTCCATCTTTCCCATCTGAACCCCCACAGCCTTGGGTTTCCACTTCCCTTCCCCCTCCTGCTCATACCCATCAACCCCATCTCCTCCCTTCTTTCCTCTCCTACTCATACCCACAGCCCCACCCATCCTTCCCCCTCGCAGCTGGGTGCTTGCGCATATGTATTTTCTTAGAGCCCATCAAGTCAGCTCCAGTCCCCCCTTCACTGCCTCTGCACCCTGTCGCTCAGGCCACTGGGCTCTCTTCCCCCCAACTCCTTCCCGCATTTATGAATGAGACCGGATGCAAAGCTCACTGAGTCACCCAGCAACGGGAGATGGTCAGGGAGAGAACCAGAAATGACCAGAAAGAGGCCGACAGGGAGATGGAGGCAGAGGAAGCCAGAAACCGGCGACGGAGACACATCCAGAGAGCATTTCATTCACAAAACACACACACACACACACACACACACACACACACACACACACACACACACACAAAAGCCTGCACCCTCAGGCCCCAGCCGGGAAGGTGAAGGGGAGAAATTGGCGCGGGGAAGGGGTGGGGGTTGATCCCTCCTACTCCCCGCCCCAGCATCCTTCAAAACCATCTTACCCCGCCCCCCAGCTCAGGAGACCTAGCCCTCTGCCCAGTATTAGGGCCGTCGTCCAGCCCCTCACTACCGCCTAGTGCAGGGACCCTGGCGTCCCAGACTTAGGGACCCATGCAACGAACTCTGGCCCTTTCCCCCACTAGCAGGCTACCGGTTTCCTCGGCCCTTCTATAGGGGAAGGGGAGGCCACAGAGCCGCTAGCGCCCCCAGCCCCCTTTTCTCAATGGGATGGGATTTTGTGAATGAGCAGTCACGTGACACTGCTTCCTTTGTCCGCCCGCCTCCCCGGACAACAGGTGAAGCAGAGAAAAAGGGCAGGGGTCCCTGCAGGGCCTCCCTTTGAAGGGACGCCGGGATTTCTGGGTGCTCTGTGCTCTCCACACATCTGTTTCCCGGGAGGAGTGGTCCCCACAGCTTCTCAATGGTGAGGGTCCTGTACAGAATTTTATGAATGGAGCATCCTCGGAGGAAGTCCAGGCCCCCCAAATGGAGACTGCTACCCCAAATGGCTGCCGCGCAGTTTAAGAGCCCCCACCCCCTTGTTCTTCCAGCCGGGATCTGGGGACGCCCAGGTGGGCAGGGGACGCCCCGGTGGGCAGGAGACGCAACGCGGTGCAGGTCGTCCCCACACCAGGACAGCCCTCGCCCCCTCACCCTCCTCGGCACCTGCCTGGGAGGCTCCGGCCGGGCTCCGAGCGGCAGCGACGTGGCCTCCTCCTCCTCCTTCTTTTCGCTCCGGCTCCCTCGCTTGCTCCGGTGGCGCTAGAGACGGGCTCCCGGAGCCGGGGCGGGGGGGTAGGGAGGGGGAGCTTGGAAGATGGGAAGGGGGAGGAAGAGGCTTGGGGTGGTGTAAACGCGAGGCGGGAGTACTTGCCCGCTGGGTCCTAGAGCCCGTCACCGGCTCCAGGGAACAGCCCCTCAGCCCCCATTTTCTCAGGATCCAGAAAGGACACCCTACTTTCCCATCCATGAGCGCCTAAGCATTGGGGAAGGGGTCCGGGACATGGCCTGGTCTCAGCGTTCTAAAGAGGCGAGGGTCTGTGCTTTGGGTACTAGACGGAAGGGGCTCAGTGCCTGCTGGGTTCTAAAGGCATGGGCGAGAAGGGAGCATTCACTAGGGGGCGAGGTCTGAGGGCCGGGAAAGGAGAGACAGGACGCCCAAGGCGCACACCAGTGAGTGCGTCCTGGAGAAGGGCCGGTCCATGGTGGATGGGCCTTCTGGGCGGGCGGTGGACAGAGAGGGTCTGGGGAGTTTAGGAGTAAATTGTTTTGGGGGAGGGGCGCATGAGAGATCCCGGAGAGGAGCTCCCTGGCAGAGTTCCTAATGGGCGGGGCTTAGGGAGAGGGCCTAATGGCGGGCGGGGCATTGTAAAGGGGCGGGGCTAAGGAGGCCGTTCTAAAGGGGTGGGGCTTAGAACTCCGAGGCCTAGCAGTAGGGAAGACCCCGGAGTATTGCAAAGGGAGATCCAGTTCGTCAGAGGCCAGTTTCAAGCTGTCTGACAGGAGGGCGTGGCCTCGAGCCAGGGGGCGGGGCCTAGATCTCGGGGTCCGCCCTAGGTGTCTCGCCCACTCGCCTTCACCCGCACCCCCGTTCTTTTCGGTTATTTTCTTCTACGGCCGTTCCCCGCCCCGCCCTGGGCCCAGGGGGCCGTGGTGTGAACTTTGGTGGGCAGGAGAAATCGGTGAGTGGGAACCCCTGGGCGGAGGAGCCAAGGGCGGGACTCGGGGGAAAGGGTGGAGCCTGAGGGTCGAGGCCTGCGGTAGAACCCGAGCAGGGAAGAGTTAGGATTGAGCCTGAAGCTCCGCCGCTGCTTGGGTAGAAGGCAGGCCCCAAATGATCGACATAGAGAGAGATCAGAGGGTTGGAGGTGAGGACAGAGGGCTTAGCATGACTAGAACACCTGGAGTTTGTTAGGTGGAGGCGGGGCCAGGCCTGAGTAGGTGTGGAGGAGGCCCTGTTTCCTGACAATTGGGGCGGGACTAGAGAGTGGGGGTGGGGTTACAGTGCAGCGGGGAGAAGCTTGAACTTCTTGTAGACCTTATAGGCTACTGAGCACAACCCTCATGAATGTGGCCTGAGCGAGAGGAAAACGGGCAAGACCTGTGTCTTGGAGCCTGAAGACCTGGGAGGTGGCCAAAATGTAGGAATGTGGTGTGAGGGACCAGCCAGGGCATTAGGGATAGAATCTCATTAAACTAAGAGGATGGAGCCTGTGTGGAACCAGCAGCTGTATGGGGCCATGGGGAAGAAGGAGTCAGGGAACACGAATGCGTCTAGAGACTGGTGCCTCAGCGGACCAAGTACAGCCAGTCTCGTCGGGTCCCCACAGACCTGGCAGATTGACTGGTGCAAGTTTTCTGACCACAGTCTCCGACCACCGTCAGAAATGGGGAACGTGCAGTCGGAGCCGTCCGCGGGCGGGGGCTCCCGAAAAGAGCAGGCCTCGGACCGCTCTTCCGCCTCCCGCCGGACATCCTTGGCGGAGCCCGAGGTGACCCCCTCCTCCCCTGCCATACGCCTGGCTCGCGGGCTGGGCGTCTGGTTCCCCAGCAGCTCAGCGTCCCAGGGACTCCTGGTACCCCCGGAGCCCCAGGCCTCACCCTCGCCCCTGCCCTTAGAACTGCCCTCGCCAATGATGCCCCCTTCAGAGGAGACGGCTGCGGCCGCGGTCTCCACACCATCCCCACCCCCCGTGGGGACCCTGTTGCCCACGCCGTCTAAGTGGCGAAAACCCACGGGCACTCCGGTGCCTCGGATCCGTGGTCTACTGGAGGCAAGCCATCGCGGCCAGGGCGACCCTCCGAGCCTCCGCCCACT